TATTGTCTCGGGTCTGGGTGATCGTTGGACCGTCGCTGTTTCCGATTTCCGAGTTGTCTAATATTTATTTATATATATTATATTATTTTATTGTAAGAAGATGGTAGCAAAGCGAATTAAGGACTTTGGGCCCGCACTAGGAAAACACTGTGTCGCAGGTGCCATGGATATACATAGACAACAACAAATTACACCCAAACTCACGAGAGCCATACAAATATTCCTCTCAGCCCGGGAATCGAACCCGAGACTTCTGCGTGACAGACCAGCGTGGTAACCGTTCGGTTACGGGGGCAATTCATCATCTATCATTCAGATATTCATCTATTTGACTCTAATTTCTAACTCATGTACATTTATTAATATTTAGTAGCAATACGTCATGTAAGAACCCTGCATTTCAAACAACGAACTACAGCCTAAACCTTTAATTAAGAGGAGGCCGTGCACAGCAGTGTGACGTAAACTAAATCAAGTTATATTTTACATAATCCAATTGTAAGTAGAAAAACGAACATCCACTACGTCGTTTACATATGAAAATAACTTAACAATAAAACGAGATCCATACAAGTTACAAATTAAGATGATGAATGAAAAGTATACCAAATACTAGTTACCATACAGATGCAGGCAGTCTGTACCATTCTCTATTAAATACGCAATAGTACGTAGTCGCAGTTCCTAACATCACAACAATATTTTAAAAAATCATACATATATGTCCAATATGAAATAAATATGTCTTCAAAATTAACTATATAAAGATTTTTAATTGCAAATTGATTGTTTTCCTGGTTCTTTTTTCGACCTTTAAAACAATTTCAAATTAAATTTTTTTGCAATGATGTCATTGTTTATACATCTATTGTTTAATTTATATAGGTGGTAGAAGATCAATGGACACTGCGGTTCACGCGGCAATGACGGCAGCAGCCAAACCGGTCGGGAAATAATCGAAGACAGACGCTGTTGCGCCAGATGTCACAATGTGCCATCCCTACCACTGTTTAAGACTAGATACAACCTGAACTCGAATTAAAAATGTATCCCGTATTGAATGGGTTCTATTGCGCGTGTCGAGCGCCAGGGACACTGGCTTTTAAACATTTCTAGTTTTACTTTTAATTATTAATACAAAGATCGAACACTCAGAAAAAAATCCTTCGATCCGGTCGGATTCGAACCGACGTCTTGTTGCATACCGTGCCAAACACTGTATCAACTAAGCCACGGAACGAACCAACGGACCTCACTAATTTTTCTATGTGCTTGCGTCGTGTTTTTGTATTTGGTTTTTCAACGACTTTTTAGTCGTAGCGCCATCTATGAGAAATCTATGAAAGATTTATCACCCAGTTAGTACCTTTACAGCTACCAGTCCGAGAGAGATGTCGCTATTCACTGTATTAATTAAATTATTATTGAATTGATATTCAATTCTATTTTGTGAAATTACTCCACTAGTTTGTTATAATTATTAATACAAAGATCGAACTCTCAGAAAAAATTCCTTCGATCCGGTCGGATTCGAAACGACGTCTTCTTGCATACCGTGCCAGACGCTATACCAACTAAGCCACGGATCGAACCAACGGACCTCACGAATTTTTCTATGTGCTTGCTATATATATATATTAACTTTTTTTATAATATCTAGTGACGGGACAAACTGACCTGAGACATAAGTTGACAAGTCCCATGTGCCTGTAATTTCACCAGCACCCTTACCCTTTCAAATTGGAACGCATTACTGCTTTCCACAAGAAGCTCTACTGCTATTCAAATTGTTCGCACCCCGCTGGATATAATACGTTTTTACAATAAGGTTCCGAAGCATAATTACATTAAGATTATCATTTACATAAAAACATTTTAATTGAAAAGTCATATTACAAAATTGAATACTACGTGTTAGATAAAGATGTATGGAAAGACGACATGGCTCTAGATTCTACATAAATTTGACTCGAAATGTATTCCATAGCATTTAAATTTATTTGAAAAGTGCAATTCCTAGAGTTTCTTGCTCGTCAAAGTCAGCGTAGTGAACGAGAAGTAGCTAAAAAGTAACGTTTTCAAGTGTAAATTTATTTTACCTATGGAATAGAGGATTCTTTGACTTTGACTTTGAATAGTAAAAATGTATCAGTAAATTTAACAGAAAAAAGAAACATCGGCGCAGCGCATCTTTAGAACCTTAAAAACGGATTTAAACGATACCTGCTTACAGCTCGACCATGACCCCAAAATCCAGGTTTCGCTTTCATCTTTGAATTCATCGATGCGAAAAAGCGAAATGCCTACATGAACATTGCATTCTTTATACAGGGTGTTCATTTAAATTGTGCGCATATTGCGAGCCACATCATACTCTTGGTATAATATAAGTTTTTTTTAAAAAAAACCTACCTCAAAATTTCGTGGAATTACATCTATTTGTCAAGTTTTACTGGGAATCGGTTACCGGATTCATCCCCTAGTTTTTATGTGTAATAAGAACACGAAAGCGTTACTTCTTCCTGTGGCCGCTAGAGGCGCTGTACAATTTGCTATATAAAATTGTTTATTTACACGATCGCTAGCGAAGGCTGTCACTATATACAATAATTGTCACTTTTTTATTGACAAAAAACTGACCTCAAAACTTTGCTTCTCGCCTTTTTTGGATTTCCACGGGATCCCCTCGTCAGATTTTGACTTCTTGGTGACAATGGGATTATTACGGACCCTTTTGTACATTTTATACTTTTTGTTCTGGTTGTCATGGTGATTTATTCATTACATGTATTGTAGTCGACTTTTATTTGCGGAAAATATTGTTTTTAATTTGTGATAGCCGAAACGAACTTGGAACAGCATCGTCGGCACCAAGGGCCACCGCGAGTGTATAGTCTTTCAAATAAAAACAGAAATTTCAAAATCGGTCCACAATTGACGGAGAAATCGGAAAATATAAATACAGCCTAACGCATGACCTTTGCCTTTTTTTTAAATTCTGTTTAAAAACGGTATAGTCATGGTCAAGAGCCCGGGTTTTAAACCCCGGCTTTGTTAACTCCGGGTTTAAATCGGGTTAAAACCCATTAACGCCAAAATTCGAGGGCAAAATCTGTTCACAACTAAATAATACAGTATATGTGTTGTAAATCGAGTTTTATTCAGATTGAATGATATTGTGACAAAATATTTATTGCTTTCTGGTCAAAATGTATTGGATCGATTCGCTTGAAAATAGCGTTGAAATCAATCTCTCTGTATGAGCTGACGGCGCTTAGAAGGAGCTTGTAATATATTTCATTCTAGACGACTTCATTCTGGCCCTCATGTCGGGACGTCGGGGCCAGAGGGGGAGAAAATAACACAGTAACTTCAGCAACATTTGTAACAATCGTTCCGAAATTTACCGCCAGATGGCATTGGCATAGAAAACAAGATTTCTGAATCGCGACGTTAAGATTTTCCGTAATAATAATTATATAATATCGTATTAGTAACCACAGTTTTTGAAATACAAGAATGTGTAAAAAAGTCATCTATCCTCAACACATAAAAACCTAGTTCTGGCGATCATAAAATTTACTACATTTGAACCATAGGTTAACGTTACTTAACATCGTCGTGTGACCACATTAGGATGAAATCAAGGTTTTTTATATTTCAATATGTTACTAAAGACCTTTTAAAAGATAGTGAATAAAATGGAGATGGAGAAATGAAAATCGGAGACATGGACATTTTATGGTGAACTTTGGCTTGTACTAACTGAATATCTAAATGTAATTTTTTATTTTATTGAACGTCACGATGTTTATCTACGAATTTTGTGAAATTACTGCACTAGTTTGTTACAATTATTAATACAAATTAAGAAATAGACTTCTCTCAGCGCTACGGAAAAAAGCGTTAAAAACAAAAAACAAAGATATGCAACAAGGATATACAAAAATTCGGGTCCGCTAGTTCGTTCCGTGGTTTAGTTGGTAAAGCGTCTGGCACGGTTTGCAGGAAGACGTTGGATCAAAATTTTAGTATTAATAATTATCTAAATGTCAATTACTACAATATAATTATTTACAATTACAATATTATTTACAGTTGCGTTATTGTTCATAGTTGAGCTCTATTTGCAATTACACTATTATTTACAGTTGTTTTAATGTTTACAATGGCACTCTTGTTTACAATAACATTATTACACGTCTGTGTCGTCTACTATGTTCCATGCCATGTGTTCTCTGTTGCCGGATCCACTGAAAATCAGTGTTGTAGCACTTGCAGTGAGACGACATTAAGCTGAGTGGATGAAGGATTCCGTAACAGCACAGCATGCACACTTTATGGCCTATCATTAAATTTGATTGTTGTTATCTTGTTCTTCTTCTTCGTGTATTATTTGTGTGTGTATTATCTAATTGTTATGGTTTTTTTCACTAAGATGACGTCTGGATTTGGATGCCTCAGGGTGCTCTAATTGTTTTGAGCTATCATCCTTTTTAACCGACTTCAAAAAAAGGAGGAGGTTCTCAATTGGACTGTATTTATTTCGTGTTTATGTCACGCGATTGCTCTGACATTTATGAATCGATTTCGAAGATTCTATATTTGTTGGGAAGAGGGTACTTCAGGTCCTAATCAAATTTGAAAAAAATATTCCGCTTCTAGGGTGGCAAATTTAGGGATGAATCCAGTTTATTGGATTTCACCTACTTTCATACTTGGCAAATTGACATAATTCTTCAAACTTTTGAGGTTGGTTTTTTTATAAAAAGTTATTATTATAGCTATACTATAACTGCCTGCATGACCAAACGGTTCAATTCCCGGGCCGGGAGAAATATTTGTATCGCCTACATTTATTTCTCTCGTGAGTTTGGGTGTGATTTGTTAAATAAGTTAAATTTGGGTGTCAATGGCACCCGCGACACAAAGTTTCCCTAATGCAGGGCTATGTTGAGTGTGTGCGTTATTATTATTGTTGTGCAAAGAATTCCACTTACCTTGCAGAACCTGTTTTCCCCATCCAGTAATAATGCATTCTCCAGCACCATTATAAAAAGCGTCGAGGGTTTCTCCTGCACGAGGAAGGCAGATAGGGTATATGTTCTTCGCGAGACGTAGATTCTCTGTCAGTACTAGGATCGCCGCATCGTTGTGTAGTGAACCTGGCAGGAAAAGGGATTGACAAATGACGTATCCAATTGTATATATGACTCCTGGGTACTTAGTCACTATAGACTAATGATAAAAGCCATGTGACCTTGAAAGATAATCATCAGCGAAAGGAGAAACAGGAATCTTACCTGTCTTATAGAAGGGATGCCTTAAGATATTCTTGACCTGCACGATCTGGAAGGGGAGTGGCTCATCGTCGATTCCCAGCTTCCATTCTCCACCCTTGATGAGGACATTTCTTGCATCCAGACTGTAGAAAGGCCACGTAGTAATTTCAAAAGTCGTGTAATCATGATAATCATTTTAGAAAAAGAAATAAATTTTAGTATCATAGACGTCTGCGCCAGATTTATCGAATCCTGTCTGGTTCTGGTGTTCTTCCAGAAGGTGTTCCAGAAGCATTAGTGAATTATGTATGTTTTAGCAAAGTTATGGACGCCTGCACTATCTGCGGTTGCAACACAGAACTTGCGGAAGTTTTAAGAAGACAAACTTTAAATCTACATTACATACTGGTTTAAATTGTGGAGCAGAATCATAAATTTATATGAAATTTTGAATAAAACTTTACAAATTCTTGAAGATGGTAGGTGCCGTAGTACATTTCTAGTATACTATACCAGACCACCATCCAATCTGTATTCAAAATATAAAACCATCTCTACTCAGTGCCTTAACATTTTCTGGTTAGACCACGACATTAAATATTTCCCTTCTTTCATTGAAATAACTTAGTCCAGATCTACCACTGCCTCTCTTTTCAGTCGAGTTTCTCTTGTATGATGCTTCTAAAAAAGCGGTCGTGTCTTGATGCTCAAATATCGTTCCCCTTCCGTTTATGGAGTCTAAATAAGAACCCATAAATAACCTTACCCTTCAACGCAAGAAGCCGAAGTGACAACCACATCTGGCCTGGTGATTACACCTCCGCAGAGAAGACTTTTGTTGGTCTGCAGAAGTACCATAGCCTGCCAAGGGATCTCCGCAAAGTCTACCTCCAGCTCGTTACGATTGCCGTAAGGTTTTTGGCCCTGATGAAAAAAAGAGGGCTTATAATTTTCATGGACAAAGAGAAATAGATGCTTAAGCAATGGCTCAGTGGCATCAGAATTTCAGCTTTATATTATACGTCTTATGTTTAACACGTGAAATAAGTCGAGAAACAACAGAGTATATACACTATCGATAATCTTAGCCTATCCCTAAAACGTCATTACTGAGACAAAATTCGAGTTTCGCACTGCGACATTGCGATCTTCAGTACCTAAATCAGTAGGAATATTTACTCTTTGACTCTCGACCGGCTATAAAATTAAACAATTAGTGATGGGCACGTATCTATAAAAAGAGATAAGTTCAAATTCAAAAGTCATCTTTAGGTAGAAGCATGGCTACCCTTGTTTTATTTTGTGTTCAAAGGATCTTTGAAATATTTTGTTTAGGGTCCCAATAATGTCTTCGGGGTCACTGGACTCTATTTATTCCTATGACGGCCCACACTGATTTGCAGAACTAGATTTTAATCATATAATTATGATGCTATTAGTCAATTAATCAACATCTCTTCACTTCGTTGAAAACTAGAGTTATTATAAAATATATATTTATATATTGGTTTTGCTCCAAATCGTATCAGGTACCGACTCCCATTAACCCCAGAGTTCAACCAACAATGTCGTCAAGTAAATAATTAAAAACCAGTTATTAAGCGTTTCGAAAGAATTTAATAATCTGATGACATTTGAAATATTCATTTTAAGTTAAACCACGGCAGTAATTTCGAAATACCTATGCACATGGTTGGAAGAACCCTTGCCTTGTGAGGCGAGGGATCACAAGGTTGTGACGTTAATTTCCACTACTGGTTTGGACCTTTTCTTCGTTAATATCATAAAGAATATTACAAAAAGGTACTACCAGCCTTAAACTGGTGATAATAATTTGAATAACCATCAAACTTCTGAAAAAAAAGAGCCATCTCTTTGTATATTTGTATTTGTATCTGTCATTAGTAATGTGATTCCGATTTTTGAGGTATATCTTAATATTCCTAACACTATCCTGTAATTTCAAGTCCAGAATGGATCGCTCCATTTCTCTTAGACAGATTTTGAGTTTAGTCGTTTGCAAATCAGTTAATGTCCAATTTTGACGCTCTTAGTTAAAATTAATATAAGCATAATTTGTTGGAGCATGGTTGGAATTTGGGTTAAGAAAAACGTCATTTAACGTGTGTGTCAAAAGAAGGTTTGAGAAATCTCCCAATATTTCTCATGATTGTAACCTAACTATATTGTATATAGCAAAGACATCTCTAGTTCAGAAGTTAAAAGTTTGCATTGCATTTCTACCTACGCGTCGATTTGCTGATTCCTTGTATTTTTAGTACCCGAAAACTTCTCTTGGGCATCCAACATACCCAAAAAAGGCGCAATTCAGAAAACTTCGTTTCCCAAATTACTACCGGGAATCGGTTTTAGGGCTATTTAGCACCCTCAATGTTAAGTATTAGATGCTTTAACAATCAGTAATCATGGATGATATCAGTAATTACGGTTCGATTATTTAATTTTGTACTTACATTGAAGACTCCACACTGTCCACCAGCACTGTATTGTTGCAAGAAAACTCTCAGAGAAGATTCGCTGTATTCATTCTCCACTCCGAAACCACCTCCACGAGAAACTGCTAAGCCTTGTCCTTGGCGAACTCCTTGGCCGAAACCTGATGGCGAACAACAGTAGTGAATATACAATGTTTTCGGAAACCACACTGTTTGGAGGGGGTGGGAAGCTGGAGCGACGTTTTTTAAATTTAATTAGTTGAGTTCGATTTAAAAGACATAAGGTAACAACAGAAACCTCAAAAAGAAAAGACAATCAGTTTTAATTAAAGATGCTTTTTTTCTTTTTGATGTGTCATTTATGAAGAATCCACTTAGTGATCCTAAATTTGACAGATTATGCACCGATAAACTTGATGAGGTCCACTCAGAGGTGGAGGAGCTACAAGTAGTGAAAGAGCTATGGTAATCATAAAATCATAATTTATTAATAATCGATGATATTGAATCAAATACTTGATGACCAAGGTTAGACCACGCGGATTGTTATTTCTATGTCGTTATAAAAGTCTTGGCGCAAGTAGTTACTATTTTTTTTATTAGAATACTTTGGACACCACTATGCAATAGCTTAGTCTGTGGGACACAGCTGTCATCACCAATGTATCCACACTTGACATAACTTGCCTACCTAACACTATCTTACCTTGGCTGATACCTTGTCCCTGCCCGGAGATCAAAGTTTGCTCGAAATTTTTCTGATTTTGAGTTTGTGTGAATTGACCTTGGGCACCCTGTGGCAAAAATACAAAATATTAATACTGGACAAAATATTAATTCAACCTTCTATTCCTTGGAGAAAAATCGACTTTTTGGTATATAAAAGCGACTGGCTTTAAATTGTGTCAAATATGTATTAAGGAGGAGTTTGAGATTCAAATAATAGGATTTGAAGTGACAAGACGCGGTGTTTATGACTATTGTAATACATGGATATCTCTAATTCATTTTTCTTTTGGTTACTATTGTTCTCATTTTCACATGTGAAGTAAACACCTGTAAAGAAACTCACTGATTCCTGAATCTCTGTTTGTCCCAAACCGCCAACACTGAACTGTCCTCTTCCTCCCTGTGCGAACTGACCCTGACCCTGGGTTGCCAGTTGTCCCTGACCCCGTGAGACCAGTTGTCCCTGGCCCTGTGTTACCAGTTGCCCTTGACCCTGAGTTGCAAGTTGACCTTGACCTCTTTGTTGACCGAAAGACGATGAAGACTGGCTGAATTGTGATCCGGATGCAAATTGAGATTGGCCGCCTTTGAAAGAGAAATAAAACATTTCCGTATTTGCATAAGTTCTTTTAGATGAGATAATGAATAGGAAACACGCGCACATCAGGATTCTTGCAAGAGGAATAGTATAACTGACATATGCACGGTTTTTGCCAACATGGAGACGCTACATTCGAAAAATATTTTTATCCCAATGGCCATAAGAATGATTTAAAGTTAAAGTGCAAAGCTAAGAATGCCGTCGGGTGTAATTGAACTCATTATTTTGCTTAAGAATAAAAAGTGTTAGAACTCTACGGATTTACAGGCGGTCGCTGTGATATCATAATGCTTTGAACCTGACACTTAACAGCAGTTCCGTCGTATTCCCAAAAAATCTAAACCTGAAGATAAAATGTATGTGTGCAGCAATTAAAGAAACCAACCTTGTGCAGCCTGCCCTTGTCCAGCAACTCCAAACTGACCCTGACCTCCTTGACCAAAAGATCCAATTCCTCCTTGACCGAAGCCTCCTTGACCTCTTACTTCAAATTGGCCTTTCTGAGCGAAGCTTGATGAAGATGATGAGGAGGGGAAACCTGGTGTCACTTGGTTAGGGCCGAATGGTGGGAGAGTAGGCTTTGGTGTTCTGGAGACAACAAATAAATTTTATTGATTCTGTCTCCAATAACTGCTGGAGGCTATGAGTTCACAGATTCTCAACATATCTGTAATATTAAATAATAATAAATGTGTCTGACAATAAAATCTGTTAACTGGTATGACACTAGGGAATTCCTTACACAGGATATTATAATTAATTCACAAATTTGAAATTGGTTTTTGGTCTGGGTATTTTAGCTAATGCCCCCAAATTTATCTATACGACATATCCATAGTTGACACCCATTAACTTTTACTATATATATGTACCTAAAACTCACCTAAAATTATTCAAAACAGTTGATCCAGTAACAGGTGGTCGTGCAGTCACTTGAGGCCTAGAGATACTGCCACTTCCTCGACTATCAGGCACGTATTTGCCATCGTTACCACCAAAGACTCCAGACACCCATTGGCCAAGCTGGTTAGTTGGCCATGGATCTGTGTAGTAGGGGTCACGGCAGCATTTGCCTACACGGCCGGACTCCACATCTTTGCAGTCCTAGGTTAAAAAATAGGAAGGATTAAACATTTTTTACATATAAATTTGACAAATATTGGCCAGATCTGGTGCATCTGATATTAAGTGATTACTACTCCCAAAGGATATTTAGTACGGAAGTATCTTTAACATAGTTTAAATATATTTATGCTGTGAATGGTCCACAGCTTTAATATCCTGTGCCTCGCAGGCTGGCTCTCCGTAACTTCAGTCCAAAACACAATGGAGCAATTTGTTGCTTATGATTTGTGTTACCGTAGAAACAAATAGTGCTTTGGTACCCATCTATACACAAAGGAAGTTTCAAATCAATCCTAACTTTGAAATATATTGTGAATAACAATGGACTTACAGTAAGAGGTACTCTATAAGCATCCTGGTCCTTAGTAAGAATGACAGTAGTGTTTGAGATCACACCTTCAGCGGTACAGTACTCAATCGGAGTACACTTCAGGGCAGCAGCGCAGCCGGATGGGATTTCGTCTGGTGGAAAAAAAATATAACAAAACTTTTTCAAGACAATTATATCAACTAACAAATTTATATTTAAGTTTACATAGAACTTCTCAAATTTATGCCACAATATACGACACTGAATCACTAGCATTTAACAGCAGCGCGTAATTTTCGTCAGATATTTGCTCCATGTCTGCATTGAGCTAACGTGGTGAACCTGAATCCTCTTCTAGGATAACCCATTCTGCAGTGGATTATGGCATATTTCCTTCTCTTTAAAAAACCCCTAGACCCTGAGTGAAGCGTACGTGTTTGACATATTATACAAAAGACAAAATTGTCCAAACAAACATTTTAATACACTTACTGTTGAAAGGCACTGTTGGTTTCGGTTTTGGGAATCTGTTCTCGTCCAAGATGATCTGTCCCTCATCGTAGGATGGGTTTGGCACTCTCGTCTCAGTATTAATTGACTGCTCTGGAACCTGAGGAGGCAAGTATCCTGGCGCTGCTGTGGATACTACAGGAGGAAGGTACGTTGGCTTTAAGGTAGGTGGGGGTCTTGGGCTGGTCACAAAAGTGGTGGGAGAATATGTGGAGCCAACGAAGCTGGAACCACTACTGCTGCTGTCAACTGGGGGTAGATAGGGGATGCCAGGTTTTAGGCCTGAACCGGACGCTCCTGGACGGTAGACTCCTTGGACTTCACTTCCAGAAGAGAAAGAATCTGTTTCGATGAAGTTTGTCTGCTTGTAAACTGAGTTGGTGTTCGTAACACCACCAGTATTAACAGAACCACCAGCAGCGCCTAAACTGGTGCCTGTGGTACCAAATCCAGCTCCAAATGATCCGCCATTGCTGCCAAATCCTTTGTTGCCTCCGAATCCTGATGATCCTCGTGAGGACGACTCGAACGATGATGAACTGGTTTCTACTGTAACTCCTCGGTTTACTCCATTGGCACCAGCACCAAAGTTGTTATTGTTGAAGCCTGAAGATCCTGATTCAAAAGTTCCAGAGACACCAAAACCTTGTACGCCTCGCGAACTTTGACCACCTTGCGCACCTTGACCGCCTTGTCCGGAAATTCCGGAACCCTGATTTCGATTTCCAAATGACGATGACGAGGATTCAAATGAAGAGCCGGAAGATCCAAATGTAGCCTGTCCTTGACCAGATTGTCCCGATTGTCCAGATTGTCCCGTGATTCCAGATTGTCCAGATTGACCAAAAGCATTAGCTCCACTGGCTGAAGATCCTTGACTGGAACTGACGAAAAGTCCTGAACCTTGGCTTCCGGAGCCTTGGAAGGTGGCAGAACCGACTCCAAGGGAACCTTGAAGACCACCAGCGCCGGACAAAGTGGAGATTTCGATGCGACAGCAGATTTCGGTTTTTGTGTTGCAATATTGTTTCTGTAACAATAGAAATAGTTATAATTAGCAATTTTTTGCCTGATTTTGAAGAATGAAGGAATCGTGGACACTATTAGTTGTTACAATTCAGGAGGCCCAATTTGACAGCTAAGGAAGACAATAGTATGTAATTTTGAATGCAATAAATGAAACAATGAACAAAGTATTAACTTATTGGGTTTAAAAAAATACATTAATTTTAGTCAAACATTAATAACATGATAGAACTTATTTCAAGTATTATTTTGGAAAGAATTCCAAAATATAGTCCAAAACGTCTTAAATACAGTTATATCCTCAATCCACATTTTTAAATAATAGTGTTGTAACCAATTAATCGCCGAATTTCACCGAGAAAAGTTGAGTTGTTGATTTTGGTTTTAATAGAGATGTTGACATTGGTAATGTGATTGAAAATCAAATAATTATACATACAAGTGATACTTGCTCAACTGATGAGTTTGGCTCATCTTCCGATGAAAGTGAATAACAATTTAAATTACGAAGTCTTTCTTTTTGTTTTGCTATTTAACTACAGGGACACTGTTAATGTAACTACACTACAACACAAACACAAGTTGTCATTATGATCATTTAACACACTTATTATTTATATTAAACTCTCTATTGCTTAATAAATGTTAATTGTTCTATCTAGAATTGAAAAGCAATGAACCGCAAAATATAATAAATGATCACCGACTCATAAAAATTCGAATCAAATTTAGGGAGAATCTTGTAATATTGTTACTGATATATTTAGTTCACATCCCTATTTACGTTACAATGACAAGTGTCAAAAGATTCCTCTTTTTTTGTAACGACTACAACAAAACAAACAGTTTAAAAGCTACATCTCACCGATAAAGCTATGGAACGCGCCATGTTGGGTATCACTCCGAGATCGATTCCAAAACAGATATACGGATCCTTATTAAGTCCAACCAAACTTGTCAAGGTGTTAGAACATAAAGTCCAAATAGGTAGGTAGAAAAGACCACAGATAGATGCTTTGACAGGGGTATAGATAGGCAATCTATCGCTTGGGACCGACGACATTGGCAAAGTGGCGGGCTAAACTTGAATGAGGAAAGCCTAATAAGATCTAAAGTAATGGAACCAAAAGATTGGTGGAACAAGGTTGAAAAAGAAGATAAAGAAGAAAGAGTAAAGGTTCTATAAGAGAATAAAGTATTAGTCCTATAACATCCAATTAATGAAATTATGCCAATTAATTTATCACTATTAAATAAAGTATACACTCATAAACATTTTAATGGTACACACTTACGAATGTCGTAAGACTTCGGTGGCGTGCGATTAATAATGTCAATTACTGTCAAAGTACAACACAATGTAATGGGTCATTTATATTGTACGTCGGTGTACGTACACTTGCTTGCAAAACTTCGAACCAATCAGAATTGATTGAAAAACAACATGACTCAGATTGAGTTTGGCTAACTCTTTGCATATTTAAAAGTTTCATTCCGGTAAAAGTTTTTTAGGTCATAGGTCATAGGTTTTGGCAACCACTATGTGTAAATAATAAATAATGCCGTTAAACGATATCGTCATGATTGTAGAGAGACTCTGGGCCCAGATTGTAAATTTCCCGCACTCGCCTGAACCGCACGTTTCTGCAGGACAAAGATTCTATTAATATCGGCGGCATTAAGTACCCCACAACAAACTGTTTCGACGTCTGAAAGTTTCCGTATTTTTTTAATCGCGCACACTGCAGAGCTGAGTCGTTTTGATAACTCACTTATATGTGGACCCCATTGCAATTTAGCGTCTAAAGTTATACCGAGAAATACAACTGTATATACAAGGTTCAATTTTTTGTTTTTAACTGTAATGTTTGTGCCCGTCTGAATAACATTGTTTTTTCTTGTTAAGAACGGTTACTAACCGGAAAAACAATCTACTACTTTACATACAGCATTGTTTACATCATTGTAGGCCCTCTAGATATCTACCGTCGTAGATAGATAAACGCTTTCACTAATATGACACAGATACAAAGACAACTTTTTGGTATTAATAAATCTATCTCAAAATGCGAATTTAATAGTAAGGCCTTCCTTAAGTCACCTATCATATGCACATCAGGGATTGATCAAGCATCACTTAAAAGTTGTCAGGTTTTTCGCTTAAACGTCACTCGTCACTTAAGCTACAAGTTTTAGATCATTATTATATCTTGGTAACTCGAGACGTGACCCAAAATGCCGATTTCTTATAATTCAATACCTCCAATGAACACTACGTCAACTTTATTTTTTCGTCATTTTCTGTTGTTTTTGTAAACAGCCATATTTATTTACTAATATTTTGTTCCCCGAATTTTGTTAAAAAAAATAAAGAAATAAAAATTAAAATAAAAACAGAACAGGTCCAAAAATACTGTTGTCAAATAAATGTATATAATATATACAGAAGAGCTTAAATTGGTATCTGTCTATATAATTTTGTTTATGATATAAAAGTAACACGAATAAATTGTGGGTGGTATCCATAAAGCTTTAAATCTCAAAGATCTGAGTCACTACCACTGCGCCCGTCACCCCGAGAGTTGACATAATCCCATGTGCCTGTAATTTCATCAGCACCCCTTAAAAATCAGAACGCAGCTCCCAATGCAGTTTGGCGGCAGAAATAGGTTTAAGGCAGTACATTCCTGGACGAACTCTTCTACAAAGATCTCTATTGATAAAACAACAATGCCTAGAACAGCATCGGGTACGAGAAATATTCTGCCGTGGAGTCTTTGTATGACCTTTTAAAGAGTTGTTGAGTTTTAGCAGCAGTGGAGTTCCTTGTGAAAGGGTTCGTCAGGGAAGTACTGAAATACTGTACTGGTTTCGAAGGGTAAGGGTGCTGGTGAAATTACAGGCACATGGGAGTTGTTAACTAATGTCTCAGGGAGACGGGAGCAGTCGCAGTGACCCTCAAGATCTTTGCGATTTGAGGTTCTGAGTGACACTGTAACTGTTATGGATAGGCATGTCGCTTACCACCAGACACGACTTATCCGTTCCGTTACTAGGTATTTATAAAAAAAAGTTGGGGTCGCCGACTCCGAGATAGGGGCTGCGATCACCGCTGTTGGTCATGGTCGATTCAACGGGTATCCATTGCCATCCAGGGAGGCAATGTTACCAGTATAATAAGAACTTTGAGCCAGGCGTGCTACAAGCCAGAATTTTCTTTTAGGTTAAAAATTTTCGATTATAAATCTCAATTTTCGTATTTAAGTATTGTACCTATTGGCGAAGCCTTGTGCTTCTGATGATCTTTAGGCTGTAAATTTATGATCTTTGTGGGTTTTTATTGAACAAAATTCCTTTTTCATAAATTATTTGGTTGGTTCCTTCTTCATACGTTGTCAATTTATGACAAGCTATTATATTTTGTTAATGGATGATATTATATTAATAGATAAAAGCAACCCAAGAACAGTTATAAAGGCAATCTTGTCAGTGGAAACGGTGATCATATCAACCCGTAGTATTTGACTAGAACGCCTTGTGCGATGTGGTGAAAACATGGCTTTCGCCATTTTGCGAAATTTCACATAATGTATTACTAGAGTTTGAACTTAGGACCTCTGCGTTGCCGGCACGACCTGTCCCACTACAAATCAAAATCTATCCGTCTCTTTTCGCAATGTAATACAGAAGAATGTAATACAGAAGGAAATCTAGACACTAAAGTTAGTAATACTTCGCATACCGGTGTCAATATTGACACAACTCAAATATGGTAAACATAACAACTAAAACTATTATTCCTTTGCTTTTGAATTAATACTCTGCCGAACACTCGTCAAACGTGACTTTTGCTAACTTCACACTGAGTTTAGTATTGCCATATTTATTTGTGGTTTTTGTTTCCAATTCAATTGCATAGTATTTACAAGAGGTCAAAAGGTTTCATCAAAACTTCACAACTTCATGCTAAGCCTCAAGACAATCATCTCCTCTTCCTCATGAGTTCGTATTTGGAAGTACTGCCACCACCATACCTACTTCTGTACCCAAGCATAATGTGAGCATTACTGCGTTCCGGTTTTGAAGGGTAAGGGGTGCTGGTGAAATTACAGGCACATGGGACTTGTCAACTTAATTCTCAGGGTGACGAGGGCAGTGGCTGTGCCCCTCAGATCTTAGCGATTTAAAGCTCTGAGTGGCATTGCAACTGTTATGGACAGACGTGTAGCTTACCATCAGACGCACGACTCGTTCGTCCCGTCACTTGATATTATAAAAAAAAATGTACATGATAAGACGCAAGAATTTTCCAATCGCTATAATTCCATGAATCATTCCAAAGGCATGCAGTCGTTATCCTTAAAAATGATGTATATATGAGTAAGGCTAAATTATTCAAATGTTAGCTAATCGTTCCAGTCGCAACACTACAAACATAAGTGGGTTAAATCGTAATGGCGTAAAAAATAGCATTTGGTCGTGACTTTTTTTATTGATTTGTAGACTTGAACTCAATCGCTTTCTTATGTAAAAGAATAACACATTGAAATGGTCAGGGTTTTGAGACTACAGGGTGTAAGAGAAATGTCCGACCACGTCTTCTGCTTCAATCAAGTCTGCGTTGGCTCAGACACCTTGAAAGGATGCCAGCTTTTATGGCGGTGAAAAGGGCCTGCATGAGACGTCCTAACGGTCGACGAGGGTATGGTTGGGCCAAAAATCGATGATCGGATGAAGCGGAGAAAGATCTCCGCGCTCTGCACGCAGAGCACTAGGAGAAGATCGCACAAGATAGGGCGCGCTGGGTGCCAACTCGTATCTGTAGGCAAAACCCGCATCTGGTCCTTGAATAAAAGTAATTAACTGTGTATATCTCCAAAACAGAGGAAGAGGGGTAGGCGATTTCTTTGGGTCAAATCTAGGCGCTTGAGTGACTATTTAGGTCCAATATGGCTTATCCCTCGGTCACTGGTTAACCATTTTTAAGGAAAAATCTATCTTTGT